GGGGGGTAGGGGGTCTATTGGGGATGATATATATATGTATATGTATGTATATCATCGGTCGCGATAAGGGCGATTCCGTTCATCGTCGCGCGAGCGACGCAGGTGTAGCGACGGTTTCTTGTCGGTTCCTTGCTCAATCGCATACGAGCACGCGTGAACGTCGTTAAGCAAACAAGCGAGTAAACCGTGGACCGACTGACAGCCAGAGAATCGATCTGGGTCTGAGTCGATCGCGCGACTGATCGCCGTAGGTCATCGTCGTTCCCAGTTTCGGCAGCGGCATCGTAAGAGCAATGTCCCCAAACGCTTGCGTGCGCTCGATCGTACGAGGGAAATCAGCGAGTTCTTGATACATTTCACGCAAAAAGTCGGCGTAAAATTTTTCTTCCTGTTCTTTGAATAAAAGACAACTGGCACGATTGTCTCTCGCACGATCGTCGAATACTGTTACAATGTCCGCTGAGCACGCAAGAAATCTTTTTCTCTTTTGTTCTTCTTTCTAGCATTCTTGCATTATTTTCGTCACGTTTTCCCCCAAAAAATTCATTTGTCCCGTCACCGATTTTTTGTATATCTTTTTTCGATTTTTTTTAATTTTTTTCTTCCCTTATAAGTTTTAAACGCGATTCCTCGAGGGAACGAAACTCTGAACGACGACGATCGTGGTCGGAAATCAGCGCCGATTGGCTGCCACGAAACGAAAGTAGTGCCGCTGTTTCTTTCAGCACTGACGAAGGCACAGTCATAAGTCTCGTACGTTCGGCAACAATTTTTCCCAAATATTTCTCTCCTCCTCCGCGACCGCCGTTTCTACTCGTACAAAAAAATGGCGTGTGGGACGTGGAACTATCACGAAATATTCTTCACTATCCCGTTTCCCGTTCCACCCGGTTCCTCCGATCCGTCACGTTTGGCACCAGAAACGAGCATCGCAGCTAAATTCCATTTTTCTTCTCCTCTTTTTCGCATATTATAATTTTTTTTGTTCATTTTTACATCGCTTAAAGTCCCTTCTCTCCGTTTCACCGTGTCCCGATCCGGCCTATCCACTTATCTCGTGCTCTATCCTTATTTATTCCCTCTTTTCTCTCTTTCTCTTTCGCGCACTCTATCTCTCTCTCTCTCTCTTTCGCTCTCGCTCGCTCTCTCTCTCTCATTCTCTCCTTCATTATATAACATAATATAATATTATTAATATAAACGTTTACGTTTTGGCCACTCAGTTCGTGTTCGCTGAAGCACAATTATTGTCTGTGTTCTGCGACATTTAGATAGTTTAGAATATTCGTTTAAATTCACTTTTATACAACACTGTTCCTCCTCTAGGCTTCCTCGTGTCTACCCCACAGCAGTGGATCCTCGGGATCGTGTTGGCCGGCTCATCTCCTCCTTCTGGCCGTGGCCGCCGCGAACATCTGCCTCAACATCGGTTCCGAGTTGCACACCCGCGGGTCGCACTTCATATTACCGTCGCCTCCGCAACTGAAATGTCAACATTCATTTTTACCTCACTTATTGTCTGACAGCTTAGAAATGTTATACAGCTGTATATAGTTTACAAGAATTTACTTATTGTAACAGTAAAAGGATAATGTCATTTCATTCCAACCTCTAAAAGTTGCTGAACACTTTCAAATATAAAAAGATCAAGACAGATTAAATATAATAAATCAACGACACTTTCCATCGGAACAAAGAGTTGATCTCAGAGTCCAGCTGTTAAATCTCAATAATACTGAAATCTAAAAGAGAACTTACGTGCACTGGAGGCAAGGTCCTGACGCGGACCTAATGACTTCCCCAACGCGGTACGCTTGTCCGCGAACCTGGCAACCGCTTCGTTTCGCGGCTCCTTTGTACGCGTGTGCGTGGAAGTGCGGCGGTAACGTGGTGGTGGTGGTGGTCGTGGTCGTGGTGATGTTCAACGTCGTGGCCATCGCGACGGGGCACTCGTATCTCGGGCAACAGAAGCCGCTGATCGGTTCCTCGTGGCAGCCGCGGATCGGTGGCGGGCAACTCTGCTGGAGACAGATGATGTCGCTACGGAAGCAGAAACAGAAGTCGCACGGGTCGTCCCTGGGCACTTGTTGCGCCGACACGTACACCTTGCCGCCGTATCGGCAAGTGCCTGGTCCGTAGATAGCCTGGTCGTCTTCGTCGTAGTCTTCTTCGTGACTTCCCTCTGCCGGGAAGTGAGGGCTTTCCTCTCCGGTACCCGCTTGATTTGGATATTCTAGAGGACCTGATGACATGTCAGGGATGCTAGGATGTACCGGCTTGCCGGTTTCATACGTGTGGTTCACTGGCTGAAGGTGTTCATCGAATCCGACTGTCGAATGAGCTTCCGCCTTCTCAGTAGTTTGAGCAGCTTCTGATGGCGTGGGTTCACCAGGATGAGCACCTTCCTCGATACCTTCCTCGTGCTCTTCTTCTGACGTTTCAGCGATCGATGGCTCCGTTGGAAGTCCCTCAGCTTTGGTCACGTGTTCTGCGACTGGTGCCTCGGTCGATGGTTGGAGTTCTTCGGGTTTCACGCTTTCCGTATGTTCTACTGGCAATATTGGCTCCGTGACGTTTTTCTCTTGTGGCAGCTCTGTCGACGATTGGACCGGTTGTTCCGGAGACTCTTCAACTTCCGGAGCTTTCTCTGCCTCCGTTGATGCTTCCACTGCAGGTTCCGTGACAGGTTGAGCTTCTGTCGTTTGGCTCGGTGCAGTTTCTTTCGTCGTAAGTTCTTCAGGTGTTGCTGCAGTTTCGGTGGTTTCTACCGGCGATGGTTGTTCCTCGTGAGGAGATGTTTCTTCGGATACTGCCGAGGGAGTGCTTGGTTGAGCTTGCTCTGCTTCGGTTACTGGAGCCCTGGTCGGTTGTTCCTCTGCTACAGAAGGTTCTGTCGCACTTGGTGTTACTTCTTTGATCAAAACGCCTTCTGTGGTCTGCGGAATTTCTTCTGTCGGTTGTGATCCCTCTTCAGCTTTAGCGGTTGTCTGTTCTTCGGGAAGAGCTTTTTCTGGTACCTCGGTAGCCTCTTCTGGTTTCTCAGAAGGTTTCTGCTCGGGAAGAGCTTCCTGCGTTGTTAATTCTTCAGGTTGAATCTTCTCGGTTACTTCGGGTTCAACTTTCTCGGGTGCTTGGGTAGAGAGACCACTCTCAGGAGCCTCGCTAGTAAGTTCTTTCTCCGGTGTTTCGGTTGTAGCTGTTACTGCTTCTCCTGGAATCTCCTTTTCTGGAACCTCTTCTGCCGGAGTTACCTTCTCGGGAGCTTCAGTAGGCAGTGCCTTCTCAGGTATTTCCGTCGCTTCTTTCTCTGGCACTTCAGAGGGAGCTGGCGTTTCACTCGGTGTCTCTTTCTTCGGTACTTCAGCAGGTGTTTCTTCCTCAGGGACTTCGGTAGTCGTTACTGGTACTTCTTTCTCCGGCTCGCCAGGGTGTTCTTGTTCCGTAGCTTCAGTCGGCGTTTTCTTCTCGGGCATTTCGGTGGGACCAACTTCAGGTGCCTTTGAAGCAGGCTCAGTCACTTCTTGAGTCTCGGGAGTCGGGGTCGTCTGTTGTTCCGTCGAAGGTTTGCCTGTTTCCGCTTCCACCGGTGACGTTTCAGTCTGCTGAGTTACTTCTGGTACACCTTCCTCTGATGGTTTCTCTCCCATGGTGGTCTCTTCGGTCGGGCTTACTTCGCTGGGAGTGGTTGGAGCCTTCTCTTCAGCCACGCCTTCAGCTTCAGTGACAGGTTTTTGTTCTTCTTCTCCTTGCTCAGGCAACATTGACGAACCTTCAGGTGCCAAGGTCGAGCCGGCTTCTGCAGCTGGAGACGTGGACGGGCTAGGTTGTTCTTCACCTGCCTCAGTAACACCTTCAGCTTCAGGAATAGTCTTGGTTGGCTCAGTAGGTACTACACTTTCCTCCGTGCTCGGTTTCTGAGTTTCCTCCTCAGGCTTATGTTCTTCAGCAGCAACCGGTGAAATGGTTTCTTGTTTGACTGGTGGTTCTGTCTGCTCTTTTACGGAGATACCAGGAGCCTCGGTCATTTGCTCCTGTGGCATCTGTTCTGGAGCTTTCGTGACTTCTTTTTCAGACGGCGTCTCTCCTTCAACTGGACTGACAGGTAATTCGGTTGTGGGTTGCTCTTGACCAGGTTCTGCTTTAGGTCCATCGGTAGCAGCTACTTCGGTAGGCATAGCCTCTTCAGCAGGTTGTTTAGTTGCTTCTTCAGGCAAGCCAGTTTCAGAAATTGCTTTCGTGGTGGTAGCTTCGGGAACTGCTGAAACTTCTTCCTGGGGTACAATCGATGGCGTACTTCCTTCCTCAGCAGGAGAAGCAGGAGTCTGTTCCTCTGGGGATGGTGTCTTCTCAGGTTGCTGTTCTTCTGGCACAGTCTGTACTGATGCCTCGGAAGTAACTTCTTCAGGCTTTGTGATTCCTTCTTCTTTAGGGGTCACCTGAGGTTCGGTCGATTCTTCAGGTCCAACTTTAGCAGCCTCGGTAGAACTTGGCACTTGTTCTTCAGGCAGTTTCTCAGGCTGCTGCGTGGGTCCTTCAGTGTGCTCTTCGATGCCTTCCGTAGTTCCTTTGACTTCACCTTCAGTCACAGGCGTTTCTTTGGTTTGTTCCTCCTCGGAAGGCACCGAGGGCTGTGAAACTTCAGCTGGCACCGTTTGTTCTTCTTCAGATGGAAGTGGTTTCTTAGTAGTTTCAGTTTCACCGGCAAGTGTCGTCGCTTCTTCCGTAGGTGCTTCAGTTGGTCCTTCTTTAACTGTGCCAAGTACTGTAGTCTCTTCAGATAACGGAGCCTTAGTGGTTGCTGGAATTTCTTCAGTGACAGGTTTACCTTCTTCAGTTTCAGTGGTTTGTGCTTCTACCGGTACCGTTGCTTCTTCTCCTGGTTTCACAACTATTGGAGTAGATGTTTCAACACTTGGTCCCTCAGTTTCAGCCTCAACTGGTTGAGTAGTCTGCAATTCACCTTCTGGTTGTTCAGGCTGGGCTGCTTCAGTTGGTTTAGCTTCTCCTTCCTCCGCAGGTTTCTCAGGTTGTCCTTCTAATCCAGGTGTAGTTCCTTCTTTCACTTCCTTCTGGCCTTCAGTAACCGGTTGTTCTTCTTCAGGCTCCTTACTGATACCTTCCTCAGGAGTTGCAGGAGAAACAGTTGCCTCTTCACCCAAAGGCTTGTGCTCTTCTACCATTGGTTCTTCGCCCATTGGTTTCAGAGTGGTAGGCGCAGCTTCCTTTCCAATTCCAGTAGTGGTTTGTTCCTCCGGAATTTTCTCTGTCGTGACAACTGTCGGCTCCTCGCTCGGTGTCTCTTGTCCCGGAGTTTGTTCTTCGGGCGGTTGCTCAGAAGATGGCGCTTTAGTTGCTTCTTGTTCTTCAGGGGTAGTTACTGCCGGCGTTTCTTTCGGTAACTCTGGAGCCTGACTGGAAGTCTCTACCTGCGAGGGAACTGTGCTGACAGCAGGTTCTTCAGATTCTTTTGGAGATTCTGCTGGAGTGGTCGGTTGTGCGGGCTCGGGTTCGAGGGATTTTGGTGTCGTTTGAGCTGCCTCGGTTAGTCCAGGTACAGTCGTTGCTTCTTGCTCTTTCTCACCCTCGACTGGTGCCTTAGTTGTTTCATGGGTCGGCGTCTCCGTAGGCGACACGGTCTTCTGCTCTTCTTCGGGTTCATATTTAGGCGTTTCGTGCTCGATCATGTGATTATCGGATTCCAGTACCGCCGTAGGTGTTGAATCGCAAGTGTACATTGGACAACAAGGGTTCTTGCCAGTGTGGATCGGCATACAGTTGGACAGATGGCTCGGCGGTGGAGGACATTCGACAAGATCGCACTGGATAATGCTGCTCAAACAACGACACCTGAGTTGGCAAGGATTGGCGGGGGGAACAGCAGAGTTGTTGCCGTAAGATTGTCCCTCGATGAGACAGTTGCCTTCTCCTGGTATCTCTGCTGGCACATGAGGCGGGTACTCTGGAGTTGCTTCTTCTTGAGGCATCTCGGCAGCCATTGTGGATTGCTCAACCTGCTCGGTCGTTCCTTTCGGTACAATTTCCGCGTGCGGAGTGGTTTCTGGCGTTTCTTCCGTCTTACCTGGCGGCAAAGTGGACAATTCCGGAATCTTCTCTTCGCTCGGCGCTTTCGTTTCTTTCTCGACTGGAAGTTGTGTCGTAGCTTCTTTCAATGAAAGTTCCTCCGTTGAGACTACTTCAGGAGCTGGCGTCTTTTGTTCTTCTTCGGGCAACGCGGAAGCTTCTGTGGATGCTTCAAGAACTGCTTCGGTGGAAGATACTTCAGGCTGCTGAGTACTAATGCCTTTTTCTGGTGCTTGAGTTTCACTAGTTTCTTCGGTTAGTACACCTGCCGTTGAAGCTTCGATTGGTACTTCTTCCGTAACTTTCTCACCTTCTTGTGGAACGGCCTTAGCAAGTTCGGTAGATGCTTCTTCCTGGACAGTAGGTGTTTCAGTAGGTTTTTCTTCTGGCGCAGCTACTTCCGTCGGTGCTCCTTCAGTTGGGGAAGCTGGTTCTCCTGCAACGATCGTTGCAGACTCGGTTGTTTCTTTCGAGACTTCGGTTGATGCTTCAGGTTCCTTGGCTCCAACCGTGCTAACTGTTTCTTCTATGCCTGGAAGCTCTGTTGGCACCTGTTCCGCACCTTCAGACGGTTTTTGCTCGGTTACTGGCGTTTCTGTGGAAACTTCTCCAGAAACTGGTAACTCGCTGACACTTTCCTGAGGAGTTTCGGCTTCCGCCGGCTTTCCTTGTTCCATTGGCAGTTCAGTAGGATGTTCCTCGACGGATTTCTCAGTTGGCTCTTGTTCTGCCGCTGGCGTTTCTTCCGAAGAAGGTTGTTCACTTGGTTTCTTTTCCTCAATCGAAGGTTCAGTTGGCTGTGCTTCGACAGATTTTTCAGTCGGTTCCTCTGCCTTTCCGGGTTCTTCACCTGCGATGGGACCTTCAGTTGGCTGTTCCCCTATTACAGACTTTTCTGTGGGTCCTGCTTCCTCGCTTGGAACCTCCACTTGAACAGCTTTCTCAGTTGGTTGCTCTTCTGCCATAGATGCTTCAGTTGTTGGCACGCCCTCTTCAACAGGTTTTTGTTCTTCGACAGGTGCCTCAGTTGGTTCTGTTCCCTTTGAAGTCTCTTCCACCGGTTTTTCAGTTCCTTCGGCAGGTAATTCAGTTGGTTTTCCTTCTTCAACAGGTTTCTCTTCCTCTACTCTAGGAACTTCAGTTGGCTGTTGTGCAGGGCCTTCAGTCGATTTTCCTTCTGTAACTGGTTCTTTTTCTTCCGCAGGACTTGTAGTTAGTTCTGCTCCTGGCGCAGGTTCTTCAGTTGGCCTTCCTTCCTCAGCAGGTCCTTCTGTTGGCTTTCCTTCCTCAGCAGGTGCTTCTGTCGGCTTTTCTGCCTCGGCAGGTCCTTCTGTTGGCTGTTCTACCTCGGCAGGTCCTTCTGTCGGTTTTTCTGCCTCGGCAGGTCCTTCTGTTGGCTGTT